ATAGGTAGGAATGATATATTTTGTTGAACTTAAATTCGATGTGGTTTTAGGTGAATTGTTGGCTTTTTAAAATGTTAGGAAGAAGCAGAGTTCATTATTTTTATCGAAAAAGTCTATAAATTTTGTGTACAAATAATGTTTAATTTTAAAATAAATGTAGACTTAGTACCTAACTCTTATCGTTTTTCATGGTTCTATTAATGTTAAATTTTCAAAAAAATTACATTTTCGCTCGCTGCTTTTGCTGAAAGAAAAAAAGTGTATCAATATATGAAAAAATAACTTTTTAATTTATAAAAGTAAACTCATCAAAAGTAACTAAGAATAACATTGATCACAAGGCTAATATTTCAAGTAAACAATAAAATACTTAAAAAACTTTTTAAAAAAACCACGTTTTTCTTGTGGACTAAAAAGTAGAAAATAAATTATGGCTCGCCCAAAAAAACGTGGGTCGGGCTGTACGTTCACCATCAAATTTCCAAAATTCGTGTGTTGTAGGGCGAGCCATAATTTCTTTTCTACTTTTTAGTCCACAAGAAAAACGTGGTTTTTTAAAAAGTTTTTTTTTAAGTATTTTATTTCTCCTTTTTAGTCCGTTGCTACACATGAAAAACGTTGTTGCGAGCAAATTTGCGATATTCATTTTATTTCAGTTGGCCACGCAAATACACGAAAGAAAATTCTTTTCGTAGTACTGTAGAAAATTGTATTCGAGGGGGTACATTGTTGTTCCCGTATTTATCCCGTATTAATTTGTTTATAATAGTGATAAATACGCCTCGAAACGTGCAACAAATTATTGATTATTGTATTGTCATCGGGAGCTGAGCTTCCCTAAAAGTTTCAGAGCGCTAGCTAGCGGGAAAGTTGGTGAAATATCGATTGCAAGATTTGATCATCACAGACGGACACGAAAGCGAGCTAAGAAAAACGTGGTAAAAAGGTTGATCGTCATGGTGCTGTGGTTGCACCGGCAGCAGGAAGACTTGCAATTAATAAACAGCGGGGACCATGGTTTCGGTTGACAGGATGGAGGGATGTGGGTAGGGGGATGAATTAACTTTGTCATCAATGTGTACACACAGAAAAATTAATCGGTTTTATTTTCAGAATAGTTACACACTTCCTGCATGTAGCATTGATACGTCCTGTTACCTGAAATGATTGGGTGAAGATGGCCCACAGAGATGGCCCACAGAGAGCAAAAAGTGTATTGCTATTCGAATAAATTTTTTTCCATTTTTTAAGAATGCTATAGCTATGCCGGCGGAAGAAGTCACGTCTTGTGCGTCCGTAAGCCAATCACTGACAGATTTTAGGCCAAACCCACGAATCACAGACGAAAAATCTGCCTTCACGTGTACTTAATTAGGTCGCTATGGGTAATTATGACGCTACGTGTACAAAGGCCGCAATGTGTACATTGACTGCTTTTGATAGTATGGCACTAGGGGCTTAAAAATGGGATCTGATCATAATTTGGTGATAATTAAAAAAGAAATTAATCACAATGAATTAAAATAACTTGCGGCATTATGCACGGTAAACTAGGGAACTATAAAATTCAGCAAAATTAGGCAGAGACAGCCCACTCTGTATTTTAAGTATTGAAATAACTGAAGAATCAATTATATCGAGGCGGTCGTCAGAAATGCGAGGCGGTCGTTGGAATTTCTTCACTGTCGTCTGCAGTTTAGCGCAGTCGCAAAATATGGCAGAGTTTTGTCGCGTATTTGAGCATAAATCAAGTTGCCCGTTGGCAAATAAATACGCGATCCTGAGTCGGGTTCACCATTTCCCGGTAACATAAACTTTTGAAGATGAAGGGTTAAATTTAGACAGTGATACTTAGCATTTACTAACCGGTAAACCGGCCAAATACACTTACTTCTGGTTATTATTTTCCCTTAGCCTAAAATTAAAAATAGGTAATGCAACGTCACCAGGCGGAGTGAAGGCATTTGAGTTTTCGGCCACTCCCTGTTTTTTTTTTTCGCCGCTTTGATGCAAGGCTTTGCACTTTCCGGGTTTTAGGGGAAAGATCCAGAATTTTGAACGAAATTCTTTTGCTATTTTTCTCCGCAATATCCAGCATATTCTTGTGAACAGAACTTAATTTTTTTAAATTTAGAATTTTACTCATATTTTTGCGCTAGAGTTCAGAAAATGTATTTTGTCGAGGTCGATCGTTGGAAGCACGCAGCGACTTCAAAGCGAAATCCCTACCAATGAAAATACCGAACAATTAATCATAAAGTGGTCTAAAAAGTAACTTAAATAGAAACTAAATATTGAAACATTTTCGAAGCGACAACATTAAAACTCTAGCACGGCTTGCACTTAATTACACCTCCGTTATTGATAAAAGTATCTAAGTTATAAGAAGTTCATCTAGCAATTACTGCTAAAAAATTTTACTAAAAAAAACCTGTGTTTTGAGCTGCCAGCCTAATTTTTTCTAACAGTAATGAATCAAATTCGAACTCACAATTAGATTGTAATATTTCACAGCAGAATCTTTGAATTCAATATTTTTTCCAAGGTAGGCGTTTCATCTCCCTGTTATGCCCATTTTTCTCCAGTGTCATGACGTTGCGAGATTTGAAGCTCGAGCTGCCGCTTTTCAGTTCCGCTGAAAATCTAAAGGATTTATTTTAATCGACGATTATTATTTCGAGGATTATTATTATTATATTATTATTATCGAGGATTATTAAATCTAAGGGATTGATTCTAATCAACGCGGCCTTCGCAAGTCGAAATTGATTTTCTGCCTGCAGCAGAAAATTTCATTTTGCATAGAACGGTGATGCAACTCTTTAGGTTATTTAATATTGTGATCATCTTTAGCAACATAAAAATATATACAAATTTAATAATTATTAGCGAATTTTAATAAGGCAAAAAATGGAATCACTCATTCAAAAATTTTCTTATCCACTGTATCATATTCCGTCGGTTCGGTAGAGACCCATTATTACGGAGCTGCAATAGCTGTGACTGTGAGATACTGCGTCCAACGAATTTTTTATAAAATCCGATGGCAACAATTTGACGAAAAAATATTTTTTAGTAATTTTAGACCGATAATAGCCTGTTCACTTACAGTGTTCGCATTTTAGGTTGAAAATAGCCTCATCACTGATCGTTTCTGGCATTTTCGATCACTAGTACAACTTCTAATCGTGATGAATGGGAATGGCTTCATGATACGTTTGATAGTGAATATTTTCTCTAACCTTAAATTGGATGACGTACTAATACACATTATCGAATTGAATATGGATAACCTACATGCAATTTAAAATTTATTCATGCCACTAGTCTAGTCATGTCACTAGTCACTAGTATTTGGACTTACGATACTCATAAATCATTGTTAAAGCTTCTCGTCATAATGCAACGCACACCAGTGCACGCACTTAGCTCAGCCGAGCAGTCGAGAAGAAAAGTCCACGGATTTTCAACCGCTACATTGAAGCAGCGATTTACACGTCGCCGAGCCGGCCAAAATCCCTAACATTTTGAAACCAATGGATCCTTTGATTGCATTTTTAGGTGTTAATCAACCGCCGGCTATGTCCTCGAGTCAATTCAGTGGTGTAGAAATGTAGACTGCAGTAAAGCATTTCACCCAACGGATCCCATTTGTGGACACACAGTTTTACATGGAAAATGTTTAATTGAAATTACGTCGGGAACGCATTTTTTTAGAGACAGTACGAGAAATGGTACGAGATCCATGCCGGTATATATAATGTGAAGAAAATTAATAATTGATGAACCTAAGCTCATTTTTAATATTTTAAGCAGTTATTCCTGTCCTAGGACTAAGTCGACACAAAATGACAGCTAGTATGAGGATTAACCACTCGCATCATTCAACAGTTATTCATGAATTATTATCCGAGTAAATTACAATAGAACGGGCGAGCGTGACTCACTCTCACTGATCATTCAACTATTATTCAGTTATTCATAAATTATTCCAACTAGATTACCGTGTGCGGGGTGAGCTTTACTTATCTTTATCATGCAACGGTTAATTATAAACTATTTTTTTTGTTGCGGCAATATTAATTTCCGGCATATTACTTATTCTTGTTTAGATTGCAGCATTTGCTGCAATTCAAGAAAAACTCCAAATAAATGAAACAATGACGGTCAAATTTCCAGCCCGCGTTCTTCTTTTCGACAATAACAAAGGCCATTTCTAGAGCTCAGTTACTGTGCATAATTGCTGGAATTGCCTTGTTTGTTGCAATCTTATAAGCATTTATGTTTCTACTTAAATCCCACGCAACAGGGCGGTCAAAACAAAGCAAATTGGCCACCCTGTACATGCTCGGCTTTCTTTTGAGGTGTAATTAAAGTTTATCACTTTAATAATAGATTTAATACAATATATACAGTCACATGTATTACCGTTCTACCTTTCTTTTTACAGCAGCTTGCTATTCACTCCGCTATATGGTAGATAACAGAAATCACGGCACGATTTTTTACATTTACAATCCATGTTAAACTGCTTGGGAATAATACCACAACTGCGATGTTAGGAGATCAGTAGGCCATGGCCAGTTTTTACGGTAAGAACGCTAATAAAAATTATCAGCGAGTATAGAATCATTTCTCAATTAATGACGTTTCAATTCTAAATTGTGAGTAGACTCCGCTATATGGTAGATAGCAGAAATCACGGCACGATTTTTTACATTTACAATCCATGGTAAACTGCTTGGGAATAATACCGCAACTGCGATGTTAGGAGATCAGTACTAGTAGGCCCTGGCCAGTTTTTACGGCAAGAACGCTAAAAAAGTTATCAGTGTTTACAGAATTAATTTCTCAATTCATAACGTTTCAGTTCTAAATTGTGAGTAGATCATGTAATACGTTTCTGCATAAAACACATACCCTGGCGATTCTGGTTTAGCTTGCATTAATTATAATGGTCGTCGTAAGCTTTCATCAGAGGGCCATGTTATCATACACAGGACGGCTCAGACTTTTTATTATCCTAGTTAAGATACAACAATCAATCACATACAATGAATTCAATTATTTAATTGATAACAGTCAACGATAAAATGATAAAACATTCGACGATGAATGACAAAAAACAATCAACGTCATCAATGGAAGGCCATTTAGTATTAAAAATGTATGTCAATTCAATTATGAATAATTCCTCAATGCAATGCCTCGCGCAGCAATGGTTAACCAATAAAATCTAACAGTGATAGTACTTTAAAACTTTGTATAGCCTATGGAAGCAGCATAACTGCAACCTAACAGTGATAGTACTTTAAAACTTTGTATAGCCTATGGAAGCAGCATAACTGCACTATTGATCTGAAGGTTTTATCTTCTGACCAAGGATAACACAACATAGGACAACACCGCAAAATTCCTTCACTGCACCAGCGTTCCTCGCAGGACTTGCGTCAACAAGCCCCCGTTGAAGACTTGGTCGAAGATTTGTAGCGCAGCGATGGTCCTAACAAGATCTTGGTCGTCTGGCTGAATTGCATTTTGTGCTTCTTGTAACAATTCGATGACTTGGTCGTTGATAAGTACTCCATATATCTTACTGAAACACACAGAAGTTACGTCAAGTTAATTTGGAAAAATAGGAAGCGTTACAGCTGAGCTAACAGAGTGACAAAATGGTACAGCTTGTGATAAAAGGTCACAACGAGCAACAGAAATGTACAGCTAGTCATATAGGGTTACAGCAAGCAACAATAAAGTATAGCTAGTGATAAAAGGTTACAACTGCAACAAAGAGGTTACAGCAAGATCAAAGGTAACATATTCCGATTCTACAAAAATATTGATATTTTAGCTTTGTAATGTGATAGTTGATATAATTTGTATTAAATATCAACAAGAAATTCTGTGATGGAGTCCTTCACAAACAAACCTAATTTCCTGAGCTTGGGCGATTGGTCTACAATGTCAAAAATTGCTGAAAAAGTTCATGTTTGCATGAGGTCAATCCTTTTCAACTGTCAATCCCTTAACAGAACACAGGGAAATCTCCGTTGAAAAGTTTTTAAATATATTATAAATATTTATTTAATCAAACTTCATACTTCTGCCCGCACACACATCATCAATTGCACGATCTGATACTCGACTCCCATCTATGGGCAAACGACGTTCACATATCGTAGATTGCGAGTTTATTCCGTTGAAAAAGCGTTCATTCAAAGTTATTTCAACGGCATATATCTGGTGGGTCAATGCAACCGAACGTAGAAATGGTATCAGGATAAAAGCATAAATAGCTAGTTAAGTTAGTGCATGGTTTGCCCGGCTCACGGCGCATCAGTACTCACCAAGGGACCCCCACTGATGCCAACTTTTCTCGTATATACGTCACCAGAGTCAGCAGCATCGTTACTTGACGCTTAAACAAGCACTTAATTCCCAAAAGGAGTGGCTTCAATTCTGATTCCAATCGCGCGGGATCGCTCGTTGCCATGTTGGATGAACGTGCCAATAGGGAGTTCAAAAATTCGTCATTAAATAGACTGTCTTCCCTGTTAAAATGAAGCTCGTCCTTTAAAACGTACTCTTCTATGTTTTCGAAGAGAGGGAGCTTGTCGTCCTCTTCAGAGCTTCCATCGTCTGTCGCGAAATTCTCTAGAAATTTACGCGTTAAATTCGACTCATTCTTGAATGAAGATACATTCAGTGTGTAGCTCAGGTTGACATAGAGTGGATGTGACCTTAGGAGTTTGGACGTCCTGATGACCAGAAGGTCGATGATGAAGTCTGTGTATTGGGATAATTGTCCCTCGCCAGGAATATTATATTCAAAATATAATGCAAAATATTCCATACTCGTCCAAGCGAAATGAAAAACAAATTCTTTCACGCATCCTCCCATCGGAGGTAACTCAAAGTCCCAGTCTTGAATGGGACGCACGTACTTGAGATCTATAATTTGTTCAATGGCAATCTCTATTGCTTCTCTATCACTAGAGTGACGTCGGGGTAGACTCTCGTATTCGGTGAATAAAGATACATAGGGCTGCTCGCAGGCCGCTATCAATATCTCTTCCCGGACGTACATAGCAGGTAACCCGCCAAGAATTTCACTGTTCACGACACCAAGTTGCCTCGAAAGTTCAAAGAATATTCGTAACGTTAATCTGGGTACGAAGTCGAGTTCTTCGCGGGCTCGATGCCGACTAAATGCTACAGAAAATATGGTCCCTAATATTCCAGATATCAAAGCCATTGCAGCGGCCAAACCATTTCGGTAAGCCATACCCCGGAAATTTACAGCAAATATTTGCCGTAGAAAGATTTCCTTCAGGCATTTCGTGATTAGTCTCATATGAGAGCAAGCGAGATTTCTACTAACTTTGGTGATCTCGTGGACGTATGCACGATCAACGTCAAAATCGTTTCTCGCCAAACAGAAGAGTTTAGAAAGATGATCTGCTATGGACTTGGACGTTTCGAGAAGCGTAGTGAAGTTGTGTTCAGTCCAATCAGATTCATTATTTTGGAGCAAGTGATATATGCAGCCATGCAATTCCCGTATAGTTTCCTGTTTCAAAGAATGCAAAGATATAATATCCTGTGAAGTCGGGGTAGAATAACTCGTTGGGTTTTGAATATTACGATATGCCTGAGGCTGCTGGTCTGATCCTGGTTGTCCAACAGGCCTCGCGTCATCGTCGGAAGTCAAATAATAACCCGGAATGAGGGCTGTCGATGGCTTCGTGAACTCGTATAAGCCTCTGGCTAATTCTTTGAGGTGAAGTTTGATTGAACTAGAAGCTTCGCAAACATCCAAGATAAACGGCATCTCGATTATATTCAATTTAATGCCATGATCTGGAAAAAAACCAAGCTCGACGAATAATTTCACAAGATTCCATTTCGGCGCTTATTTCGCTACGGCAACCGGAACCTAATGCGGACATAGAGCTTCTAATTTACCGGGCCATAAGAACTTGGGGCGTCCGTGTGCCAGCGGCTGACAGGTCTTCGAATTTCGATAGGGTACGCTCTCTTAACTTTTTTTGAAAGTATGGCCCCTGAGCATACCACGGCTCAAACCCGGCTAATTCCTTTCAACTCGGAGCCACTACCACTGCCCCACAGTCGCTCTTGTACGTTGCTAATTGAAATCACATCCATGTGCCATCTAAAATACGAGCGTGTGGATACACCAAAACTTATCTATATCTTGAAGAAATATTAATAATGTCTTGCATAATAAATTCAGCGCACAAGCCAAATGTTCGGTCTGTAGAGGTGCTAGTGCTCAAGGCGTCTCGTAAAATTTTCAAATACTCACTGTGTAGAGTTGTTCACAACTCGAGTCCGAACCTTAACGTGCCTTCGGAACCCAATGTGTAGGATAGCAAAACGTCGCGTTAGTATCTGTTTTATCGTCATCAGACTAAGTCATCCAGATCTCTGTCTCTCTGTGTTGCCAATATACTTGCTGTGTTACCAACTGTGTTTCACTACCAGCTGTGTCCCGTCGGGTTACTTGTACACTCACTGCCATGACTTACCGTGCTATTGGCTTCGTGTATAAGTGCGCCACGGATGAACCCTGCGATTATTTACGCTAGGACATTTGCAATATAATTACTCGCAGTTAGTATCTGAACGTTGTACTGGCCGCAACTACTGGACTCGTGTAAACGACCTATACTTACAGTAGCGAGGGCCTCCAGGCAGCTTCTGGAAAATCGCCAGCTCCCACAGCGCAGGGAGAAGCCTTAGCAAGACCTTCATGGCTTTTAACAACCAACGCAGCTCCTCAAATACCGACAATTTGTCTGGAAATTGAAAACTAATAAGATTAAATAATGCAATGCATGTAAAGAGGTGAAATGATGCATCAAGTCACCTGTAAACTTAACAGTTTATAAATTTTATAAAACGATAATGAATATAATTCGAATAACTACAGGCACTAATCCTTTCTGGAGCGAGTACCGTGATGAGACGGAAAATCAATGGATGAATATGAGAAATTTTACATTAGTTTAAAGTTAACGTCTTGTAAAACAGCACAGACTGCACTAAAAAAATTCAATGAGTCAAAGAGACCAAATCGTCAACACTTTCTACGCCTAGAACTAATACATCCGTTTTGCCCACACAAATTTGGTCAGAACGACCCACACGAGGGCCAAATGTGCTTCTAAATTTGGACAAAATCTCACTCATTTGTCTTAGTGTATACTAACTCTTCACTGACAGCATCAGAGGGCCAGAACGGAACAAAGTTGAAAACTAGCGCAGCCAGACGAAATTTAATGCGGTTGGGAATATTTGAAACTCATTAACAAAATTATATTTAAAAATTTTAATGAATCTTGCTGCGAAGGAGACCAGCATAAGACGGAGTGGATTGCAGAAGAAAATATAGAACCAGAATCAATATCAGGATGCCAAAAATGGCAAAAATCCCGAAGTGACGACCATCGCGTATAGACCAAAGCTTTCTGACAGTTTCAGCATCTTGGTTCTCAAGAGTCTACTTCAACACAATTTTCAACGTCACTTTAGGAAGATAATCGGTGTTCGATCATTCAGATTCCAACTTCGTTTGTTAAGGTAATCGTATAATAAATCTGCCTGAAATTGACAAACAAGTAGACAAGATTGTCTCTATGAAACAAGACGTTACCAATTTAAATTGATATTTTCCTCACCCTGTAGTGACCATAAATAAACATTCCACGCATGCGCGAGGAAATTATGCGCGATGTAAGTGAACAGGCGAGGCTCGACTGCGCAGAAATGCATGGCGCAGGCGAGATAGTAACGCGCGTTGCGCACCGACGAGCCGGCGACTGCACAACCCGGCGGTCTGCTCAGAGTTCATAAAAATTACACTAATTTTTCATAGCAGTAAAAGTATATCAAGTTTAAGGCGGTAGAAAAAAGGTTGTCGCTCTTTCGATTTTTTGTTTCCGGTTTACATCTGTATTAATAATTGGTTTAAAATAATAAGAATTAGTAATATAGTAGAAAAACCTATAGCATTTCCTAATAGTTTTCGGGACTGACAAAACGAGCATTTACAACCTTACGCACTCATCTTTCAATGATAGGAAGGCCAAATTTTCGGAACTGTTAAAAGTTTTATCTAAGTTTATCTAAGTTTTATCTGAGTTTTTGGGACTGTTAAAACGAGCATTTACAACCTTACGCACTCATCTTTCAATGATAGGAAGGCCAAATTTTCGGGACTGTTAAAAGTTTTATCTAAGTTTATCTAAGTTTTATCTAAGTTTTTGGGACTGTTAAAACGAGCATTTACAACCTTACGCACCCATCTTTCAATGATAGGAAGGCCAAGCTGGTCGCGTAAAAATTCATCGTCATGCTCTCTGTGAACTTGGAAGCTTGGTTGTCACTAGTAACGTCGCTGTGATGAGGACGTGGAGGCCGTGGTGCAGGAGGGCTTGTAGTAACGTCGCTGTGATGAGGACGTGGAGGCCGTGGTNGAAAGGTTTAGGTCCTGTTATTTGTTTGGAAGTTTATACTGAAAGGTTTAGGTCCTGTTATTTGTTTGGAAGTTTATACTGAAAGGTATAGGTCCTGTTTTTTGTTTGGAAGTTTATACTGAAAGGTTTACTCGCACGCTGCGTTTCATCAGTACGGCGAACAATGTATTTTAATACTGCGCTCACAGAAATGGCTGAGGCTTTGTCCAAATTGCAATAAACATTTTATCCTTGCGTGTGCGTGGGTTAATTCGATTTCGGCAGTTCCGGCAACGTGGAGGCCGGAATTCGATTTACAGGTAGCATCACTGCTAGCTGTAAAAAAATTAGTAACTATTTTGACAACATGAATGACTTACTCAATTGCTTGAGTTTTGACCCACTCATTTGCCTGAGTGCACCTCACCAGCTTTACGTTTATTGACGTCTATAAGAGGCGCAGCATACAACGTACCTGACGCTGCAGGATGAGACGGGTTATTTAGCGACGTTTCATAAGGAGAACGTTGCCCGGGAGTAACGTTCCCTTGTGACGTTCTTGTTCTACGCATCCAACCTCCTTCCAGTCGCAATAATTTCGCGTAATTCACTTGGCTGTCAACCAGAATCGAAAGTCCTCTATCTTGATTAATCTGTAGAAATATATTCAGTGGATATTGTGAATAAATATTTCAATCAGTATGTGTCAATGAATATAATGAAAAATGTCAACTAATCAATTTTAATGTTAAAAATTCCTCAATCAAAAAACGATAAAGTTTAAAATCATCACTGAAAATGCTGAAAATTACTAAACGATTCGTATTCAGTTAAGATAACAAGGCAGAATATTCAATAAAACATTTTCATCAAAGGAAATGTTCGCAACATTCGTCAAACTGCATTTCAAACAAACGCTTTCCTTAATTGGATAAATTGTCGGAACTAAAAGTTTATACAACATCAATGATATCAATTAAGATAATAATACTACTGTTAGGCTCCTCCTAACAATAACATGAATCATACAACATTAACGTTATCAATTAAGATAATATTATTGCTAGGCCCATATAGACAATATTATTAATTAATTAGATATTTATTATCAATTAAGATAATAATATTATTGCTAGGCCCATATGGACAATAATATTATTAATTAATTAGATATTTATTATCAATTAAGATATTATTATTGCTAGGCCCACATAGACAATAATATTATTAATTAATTAGATATTTATTATTAATTAAGATAATATTAACGCGCAATTCACTTGGCTGTCAACCAGAATCGAAAGTCCTCTATCTTGATTAATCTGTTGAAATAAAGGCAATGTATATTGTAAATAAATGTTGTCAAAAATAAATATGTTAAAAATTCCTCAATCAAACAACGATTAAGTTCAAAATCAATACTGAAAATTACCTAACGATTCGTATTCAGCAAGATAACAAGGCAGAATATTCAATAAAACATTTTCATGAAAATAAATGTTCGCAACATTCGTCAAACAGCATTTGAAACAAAAGCTTTCCTTGATTGGATAAATTGTGGAAATTAGAAGTTCATACAACATCAGCGTTATCAATCAAGATAATAATATTATTAATTAATTAGATATTTATTATCAATTAAGATAGTATTGTTGCTAGGCCCATATAGACAATAATGGTATTAATAAATTAGATAATTATTATCAATTAAGATAATATTACTGCTATACAATAATATTAAGCCCGCATGTCGGCCCGTTACTTGCTTTATCTTGGACGTAGTCCAGCGCGATGAACGTCTCCATGACGACGCACCGCTGGAGCACCCCGACGTAGCACCGACGTTCGGGGCCCCACATGTCTGTCACGGGGCCCGACATGCCTGTCACGGGGCCCGACGTTCCCGTCGAGGGGCCCGTTGCATCCGTCAAGGGGCCCGTTGCATCCGTCAAGGGGCCCGTTGCATCCGTCAAGGGGCCCGTTGCATCCGTCAAGGGGCCCGTTGCATCCGTCAAGGGGCCCGTTGCATCCGTCAAGGGGCCCGTTGCATCCGTCAAGGGGCCCGTTGCATCCGCCAAGGGGCCCGTTGCATCCGTCAAGGGGCCCGTTGCACCCGTCAAGGGGCCCGTTGCGCCTGTCAAGAGGCCATCCCGCTCCTCGAAGAAGGACGAGGCGTGTGTCAAGTGGGCCAAAGTCTAGGAAATTATAGAAATTAAAAATTTGATTAGATTCGAAACATGAGATTCACATGCAAAATAATTATTAAAGCGACACTTCCGATGCAATTTATCGTTAAAGAAAGATGCGATAGATCGATTAATGAACCAGCTGCACTCAATGAACCTGCTGCACTCAATGAACCTTATGACCTTATGATGAGTTTTAGGACGTCGTAGTCCACGGTCACGCTGATGCGCCGCCTTCGTCGTCCTCCGTCTCCGAGTAGCACTCAATGAACCTGCTGCACTCAATGAACCTGCTGCACTCAATGAACCTGCTGCACTCAATGAACCTGCTGCTCTCAATGAACCTGCTGCACTCAATGAACCTGCTGCACTCAATGAACCTGCTGCACTCAATGAACCTGCTGCACTCAATGAACCTGCTGCGCTCAATGAACCTGCTGCACTCAATGACTCGGCAATCAGATGAAGTGAAATAGGTTCCCTTCATCCGATAAACTTGCCTGCGCAGTGCTCAAAATACACCCTGAGTAGCACCTAACACGACTCAATCTTCAACAGTTAGCTAATCTTCTCGACGATATTAACCTGCTGCATTAACCTTTGGCTTTGAATCGTTTTGAAATATCATTTACCGCTCACAACTTCCGTGTTCCTGCAAGGTAGACCTTTCATTATAACACATAACGTCGTCTCGGGTGCGACTGTGTCTGAAAAGTTAATGGGAACACAAAAATTTAGAGATTCTACCACTCAAATAATTGTCCCCCAAAACTATTCTAAATTACTCAATTGATTGTTCTTATTGAAAAAATCTAAATCTAAATCTAGTTACCATTTCATGAAGCTGATGAAGTTTGACCGTGCCTCTTGGCTTCTCTCCAGCACATCTCCTTGCTGTGCTGGACAATGCACGTAATTTGCGATTGAAAAAAAAAATCTAAAACTAAATCTAGTTACCATTTCATGAGGCTGATGTAGTTTGACTTGTGCCTCTTCGCTTCCCTCCAGCATATCTCCTTGCTGTGCCGGAAAATGCACGTAATTTGCAATAAAAAAAAAACTAAAAATCTAGTTACCATTTCATGAAGCTGATGAAGTTTGACTTGTGCGTCTTCGCTTCTCTCCAGCACATCTCCTTGCTGTGCCGGAAAATGCACGTAATTTGAAAGCTGTGCTGGAAAATGCACGTTGAAAAAAAATCTAAAACTAAATCTAGTTACCATTTCATGAAGCTGATGAAGCATGACTTGTGCCTCTTGGCTTGTCTCCAGCACATCTCCTTGCTGTGCTGGACAATGCACGTTAAAAAAATCTAAAAGTCTAGTTACCATTTCATGAAGCTGATGAAGTTTGACTTGTGTCTCTTGTGTCTCTTGGCTTCTGTCCAGCATATCTCTATGCTTCCCTAATGCCGGACAATGCACGTAATTGTCAGGATCCATGGTGGTTAGTTGCGCCTTGCGTCGGCACAAGTCCGACAACAGAAGACGCGTTGACACCAGCAGGTCTCCTAACAACCTCGGGTCCCGAACTGCCAGCTTCTTCTCAAGGCTGCGGCCCGACGAGATTAGGAAGTCGACGTATTGAATGTTTTCCCGGTAAGTTTTTTTCGGCATCTTCCTTAGGACTGGAAATTGTAGAATATAACAAAAATTTTAATTACTATGGTCCCGCAAACAAGAAGATACAGGTTACCAAGTTGAAGTAGAAAACATTTATGAGGCAAATGCAGTTGATCTAAAAGATCGGAAATCGTATCCTACGCAAAATTTCAGTAAAAAAAATCCAGTACATTTTATTTGGTAGGTTTTTCGACAAGTTTAATTTACAGAATAAAACCTACGTACGTGTCACAACTCATGAACCGCTAAGCATAATTGAATATATTTCGCTTTTTGCCTATCTAAGCTCAAGCCAGTATAAAAATAACGCAGAAAAATATTTGTTGAAATCCCAAACGAAAAACCTTGGACGTCAACGTCAAACTTCTGAATTATTCCATTCATTTCCTTTCATTATTCAGTAACGTTTATAATCCAACTTTGATAGTCGTCGGAAGACGCTTGGGTTAATTTAATTGACTCCTCTTTTTATAATCATTTTAACCACTTAGGAAGATGCATCACCGCGGAGGAAATCTTTTTAAAAGGATGGAGTAAATTTCCAATGCCATTGCTTCGATCATTTGAAAAAAAATTTGTACTTAATGTTCGGTTATAAAGGCTGTTAAATTTACGTAATACCTTACGTTCAAGACTCACATTGAGCTTGAGCGAAGAGCTCCATGTAGAATGAGTAGAACTCAGTGCGTCTGAACTGAGTTGGGATCTTCAACTTAGAATACATCCCGCACGCAATGTGTGCACATTCTTCTGCCATCAGGAATTTTACTTCAAAATCAAGCGTTCCTGTGCAGATTAGAAGGAGAAACTTAGTTCATGAACTGAACCTACAAGATTTAAATTTAGTTTATATCATCAGTAATATTAACATTCCATGTATTAAACTATAAGAGCTTGAGATTTTAAGACTGGAAATTGTCGCCTGTGTGAAGCTCTGCGCCAGCAGGACTGCTGGAGCGCCTCCCAGGCTGTAAAATAATAGCGCCTTACTTTATATATAAAACCATCTAATTGGATAAGATAATAACCTAATTTCAAGCAGTAAATCTTATTTGTTCTGATAAGAAGGGTGCAACGGAACACTTGACGGGGCCTTATCTCCGCGATAAGACCCTCGACAGAGAGAAGCACATGGCTTCATTACTTTTTCCGTTCTCAGTCATGATTATTAATCGATGCAATTCTTCGATTCTTAAGGGGGTGTTTCAAAACATCTCTATAGGACAAGAAGCGCTTCATTAAGCCTGGATTTACTAATCGAAATTAATACATATAAAAATTAACTATCGAACATAAATAAAGCTACCAGAATTAACAACTCTCACTCGTTGGCCGCGAGGGCGGCCTCGGAGAGCTGCATGAGGATGACACAGGTTCTCTGCAGATGGTTCAAGGCGTTGATGATGGCGGTCCTCCCCAGCCCAGGACCAAGTGCACTTGGCTTCGTCACATATAATTTTGGGTAATAAAGTGGCTTGAAATAAGGCTGATTGTCCAGAGTATTTCCTATTGTTGAGAGATCCGAACAAGGAATTTCTGCTAGAGGCAAGCGCTGGAATTCTATAGCGGTAACTTCTTGCATTGCGAGTATGGCGTCGTAGAGAGCCTGCTGGCAGTGGCGTAGACTGGATTTCCCGAGCCAACGCGGGATTCTGCAGGAATTAGGTTTGCACAAAACATGTCACTTCAATACTTGAATGTTCACCGAATAACTTGTAGTCATTAATTTCATGAGTCACTTTCGACAGAGTGCACCATAACACACATAATAAAGTATAGTAATGAAATTATATTTTTAATAATGTAGTATTATGTTAACATCATAATAATAACAATTCATATCGTTCAAAGTGAAATATCAGTAAATTGCTGTTAGCAACAATATTTTTGGCCTATTCATTTCAACCCTGGGCAGAACAAAATTATTTTTAATCGAATGCAAAGTTCTGGATACCATAGTGTAAAGGTAGATTTTAGTATGAATATTTTTCGCAATTACGAATAAATGAAACTATTAAGCAACTGTACAATGAAGCAGTCTAGGAAAATTCATGAATTACATGAAACTTTCTTGCATCATTTTGAAAGACTGCGGAGCATTTCATTTGAGATAGCTCCTATTGATGATCTGTGTTCAAAAGTCAAATCGAAATAACTAGTATTTATTTTTATATCTTTGATAATATTTAAAATATGTATAAAATTAATATAATAATTTTTAATATTTGATCCAATTGAATACCGTCTACTTACACTAAAACTTCATATGCATCGAATTCCACGACGCCAGCTACACTTTCAGGATAATTTCGGATGTGCTCAAGTTTTTCAGCGGCTGAGTGCGCTATGGCGACCGAGTGATTCAGACGCCGCGCAGCAGGGCTCAAACCGTCCTGAAACACAACCCTTACCCACATGATGTGCAAATTTTATCAGCATTGAAAATTACAAGCGCTCTCTTATTTGGGCAAGGAAAAGATAGGGAATGATTAATAATTTCAAATATACTTTAGCTTTCCTTTAAAATAGAGAATGAAAAAATATGAATCTTTGATCCAATGGCATGCCAAACATGGTGACCACAAAGTGTATTTCAAATAGTGCATTTTTGAAATACGCGACTCTTAGAATTTGTTCGCTTGATAGGGAGGAGAAGCTTGGCGTAAAGAACAAAATTCACTTGAATTTCGTAGTTCATATTTAAAAATTTATGTGAAGGTGAAGAAATATTTGCTATTATTGCAGTTATTTCGTGGGGACCTCGTCGTGAAATTATACTTCATTCCTTTTTATTTCAACTAAATTAAATTATTAAACTGGCACAAATGAAATCGATTCATCGCCAAACTGGAGGAATACGTTTATTTTAGACTTGTGCAGTGACTATAATAATTAAGCTTAATAAGGAATATGGAGTTAGTTGTTACCGAATTTGTTAATTAACCGATAACTACTACAAATGAAGTTTGGTATCAACCAAACTCGATAAATATGTCAATTTCACACCTGCGCACATTGTAATGTACAGCTACATTTGTGATCCAATTTTTTCTCCGTTGTCGGGAAAATAAAGCTGCAATCGATCAGTCCCATCCCAGCAAGCTTGGAAATGTCTCGTCGAAACTTGAAAAAAATGTTGTTCTCATTACCGAAGGGCTTAACTGCGCAAACGACCGATTGAAAGTGACCGTTTCCTTTCATCAAAATATTTCCATTTACCGTGATTGAGGATCTTTTTACCGTGACAATGGTTCAATTTACCGTGACAATCGCTCTTTGATAATATAGAAATGGTTGCATTAATCATGGCAGTTAATTAATGGTTCCATTTTTAGTTACAATAGTTTTTTCACCGTAGTTTTACTCAATAGTTCCATTTATAGTGACAATAGTACCATAAATCGCGACAAATTTGTACTAATGGTTGGTGAACTTGCCCTGAACGAGGTAAAAGTTAGTCATAGAAATCTACCTACTTTGTATCATCACTATCTTCTTACCTGATGACTTTCGCAAACTAAAAAAATTAATGGGTGATTAATCAACAATCCCTTTCTACATCGCGCTTCTCTTACGCGGCTTCACGTATTAGCTCTTTTTCAAGAAACATTAGCGAGAAGAATCATTGGCGGATATTCGCTGATCCCTGGGCTTCTGAGTCAATCGGTACATTTTTGCAAAATAATTCTTTCTAATATTGAATGAACTTATGAAAATATACGAACTTACAATTTAATCAATTATTGAACACTTAAACCAATTATAACGTACAAAAGAAAAAAATAAATGTTTATACAAGTACTCAGTCGATGAATAATTCTTTGCAGCTGATTTCACCTATCGCAGCCACGCCTGGAATGTGACACCCGACATAGCTGAGGACTACAGTGTTGTCCACATACATTGACCTTTTCTGTATAAACACTGATATGCCTCCTTGCCGAACTGGATCAGAAGCCAAACAGGAGAAAAAGTGGCACCGCTATTTGTAAAATGTGCTTTTATTTCTCTGATTAATGCCCACGTATTAAGTCTTCCAAATGTTGAACTCACCAAGGAGTGGCGCTGATTAAGCAAATCAGTTCTGGTGGACAACCAAATGCGGTTAGTTTGGTGATCATCGGACTCCAAACCGTCTGAACCAGCGGGGGCTGTAAGGACGGAAACACAGGCCTCAAGTGAATTGTTTGATCAGCTTCAGGTTTTAAAAAATTCACTATTTACTTATATTATCCCTCCCTCTTGAACTACCACCACAAATTCAATAATGTCTTCAATTTGCCGATGCGTGAACTTACAAACCATCGAAATTACGTTCAATAAGCGGTTTTAATACAGTTTCTGTTAGAAATACAGATGTTGAAATTTAGTTGAAAAACTCCGTAAAACGTATTTCTGGTTATACTTGATCAGCACAGACTGCAGTGTACACCAATAAAGTTAGTTCGGTTCGACTGTAAAGTACAGGGATTCAATATATCCTATACAGATCGCCAAGTCTTATTTCTGAGCGACAAGTAAGTGCTGCCTTACTGTATATCAAAACTTATCTTAGATTTGCTCATCCTATAAGATGTAGCATGGCCTGTCGGTGTAATAGTGTACGAAGGTTCATTATCATGCTGCTGGAAGACAATCAAGACACATGCACCAAGGGTTAATAGTAGGAAAGGTAGTAATAGTATTAGCAATGACTGGTAATAGTAGCAACAGTAACTGGTAATAGTAGCAACAGTGACTGGTAATAGTAGCAGCAGTGACTGGTAATAGTAGCAGCAGTGACTGGTAATAGTAGCAGCAGTGACTGGTAATAGTAGNTTTTACTTGTGTCAGTTTCCGCTATTATGTTATCACTGTCTCTTATACACATCTAGATGTGTATAAGAGACAGCAACTACACCGGATTATGAGCTCTTTTTGACCGTACAGCTGCGCTTAATAGCTGCATTTTTTATTTACGGGTCAATATTACCAAAGTTAAAGTTGAATATATAGTTATTACAATTTTTATGGTGGCTGAGCCGACAAATCCAAACAGCCCTTAAATCTTAAAATTAATAATGAGGTTACACTGCAGTCGGGCCTCATTTATTAGCGAGGAACATTGAAAACATTGAAAAGCGGAATTTAGCGATGTAAAAGAAATGTTTTCTTTATGCACTCAATTAATCGTGAGACCTTCATTACCGCCCTGTTACAGTCAGTCTGTATGTCGTCAATATATTACCTGTCTCTTATACACATCTAGATGTGTATAAGAGACAGGTCTTGGGCGCTTAAAGACCAACGAAGACGCCCCAATCGTCTCCACAACTGAGACCCGCAGTCAGACACGCAGTCTTGGGCGCTTAAAGACCAACGAAGACACCCAAATCGTCTCTACAACTGAGACCCGCAGTCAGACACGCATGCAGTCTTGGGCGCATAAAGACCAACGAAGACATACAAATCGTCTTCACAACTGAGACCCGTAGTCAGACACGCAGTCTTGGGCGCTTAAAGACCAACGAAGACACCCAAATCGTCTCCACAACTGAGACCTGCAGTCAGACACGCAGTCTTGGGCGCTTAAAGACCAACGAAGACACGCAAATCGTCTCCACAACTGAGACCCGCAGTCAGACACGCAGTCTTGGGCGCATAAAGACCAACGAAGATATACAAATCGTCTTCACAACTGAGACCCGCAGTCAGACACGCAGTCTTGGGCGCTTAAAGACCAACGAAGACACCCAAATCGTCTCCACAACTGAGACCCGCAATCAGACACGCAGTCTGGGCGCTCATATGAGGAGCGTCTGCCCCAAAAAAGATCTGGGATATCTACAGACGGATCGATTCAAAATTTGGTACACGTATGTAACCCGGAATTCTGTTTTTTTTGCTCATGTAAATTTTTCGAAAAAATTAAAGAAAACGTGAAATTCCTAGAAAACGGCCAAAAAGGGGGTACTGTAGAAATCTATATCCTCCTAGGATTTTTAACCTACAACATCGAGACAGATCATTCGATGCGCAAAGACCATATCTACAACTGGAGGAAAGGGTTTTTTGAATTTCTCATTTTTGTGAGTGTGGGGGCATTTTTTCTGAAATGTTTCGAAATTTTCCAATTTCACCCCAGCCCGCCCCACTTTTTGCAAAATAAAATCCGAACTATAACGAAATTGCAAAAAAGACTCTCCAGTTGTAGATATCTTATTTGCAAATCGAACGGTATATGTCTCATTGATGTAGCTTGAAAACTCTGGGAGGAGATAGGTTTGCAGTGACAATAAGTTAACTTTTCAGCAGGGCCCGACAAAGTCGCGCGCGCCTCGAAAAAGACATTCAAGGGTGCAAGGTTGCAAGACTAGACGATATTTGAGCTCAATTTCTGTCAAGGATGGTGTGAACGACGGCACAAGAACCATCCCATACGACTGCAGACGGATTTGAGCACAGCGTGTTCAGACTAGCTGTTTAAGTGTGCTACCGGTAATTTCGGCCTATATTTAATTTCTAAGAACTCCACCACCCCTAACCCTTTCGCGCTCTGTTGTAAACGCATAAATCAACGTACAGATATGGTTTTGGTACCGTTAGATGCATCAGAATGTAAGCTTCAAGATGAGTATAAAAATAAAAACCGTAAAAGTCAAAATTTTCGATTTTGGGGCAGACGCTCCCCTTAAAGAGCTAAGTCTTCTTGGAACACAGAGGCACTAGGATGAGCAAGGACTTGATGGAACATGAACATAATTTCATTAGTACACTCAAATGAATTATGGTCAAATTGTTCAATTAATAAAACCAAACTTTCTTTCCCAAATCACAAGTAGAGGAGAGCGGATAAGGCACTGATATGCTTTTTTCCGAGCCTAACTGCCAGAACGATCCACAAAGGGGGAAAAACTATCAAAATTTGGGAAAAGTTCCACTCATTTCTGTACATCAACATGTACATGTATAGCTAAATTCATCGTAGTGCATTGAGATTAGGCATCATAACGCCCAAAATCTTTTGGAAAGGATTTTAACTCGATAATAACGAACAGAATGCAGTAACTATAATGTAACGAAGAAATTCATCATGTATTTCATAACATTGAATATGAGTTGTCAGAAAACGGAGTAAAATGAAAAAAGATGTAGCATGTCCTGTCGGAAAATGTATGAAGGTTCAGTATCATGCTGCTGAAAGACAATCAAGACGCATGCAGCAAGGGTTAATAGTAGGAAAGGAAGTAATAGTATTAGCAACGACTGGTAATATTAGCCGCAGCAACCGGTAATAGGAGTAGCAGCAAGAACCGGTAATAGCAGCTAGTAGCAGCAACAACCGGTAATAGTAGTAGCAGCAACAACCGGTAATAGTAGTAGCAGCAAAAACCGGTAATAGTAGTAGCAGCAACAACCGGTAATAGTAGTAGCAGCAACAACCGGTAATAGTAGTAGCAGCAAAAACCGGTAATAGTAGTAGTAGCAACAACCGGTAGTAGCAGTAGCAGCAAGAACCGGTAATAGCAGTAGCAGCAAAAACCGGTAATAGTAGTAGCAGCAACAACCGGTAATAGTAGTAGCAGTGACAACTGGTAATAGTAGTAACAGTGACAACTGGTAATAGTAGTAACAGTGACTGGTAATAGTAGCAGCAGTGACTGGTAATAGTAGCAGCAGTGACTGGTAATAGTAGCAGCAGTAACCGGTAATAGTAGCAGCAGTAACCGGTAATAGTAGTAGCAGTAACCGGTAATAGTAGCCTTGGTAATCTGGATCACGATACGCACCCCCAAATCATCAGCAAGATATTCATGAATTTAACGAATCTGGAGTCGTTACTGAATTTGAAGATCCTAAAGATATGCAAAATCGTTAAGCTTTAATTAGTCTAAATTTTCACAATATTTAAATGGAATAAACCGGTAGCTCGTGAAAGTCGTGGGAACATTCACGCATACACCACGGAAATAACGTAGGTATTTAATTTATAAAGTTGCCCTGTCTAAAAGCACCAGCACAGGAAGAATTATTTTTCAACTCTAAATCATAACACTTGCATTTAATAATTTTAGCCATTTCATCACCTTATTAACTTTTATGTGCAAAGAACATCTCATATTACCCACCAAATGGGACGTACTCGTTTCACAGACGTTAATTTTCTAGAGAATCGACATCGAGATGCGGGACGAATGTAGGACAAGAACCTGAATTATATGATAGCTCCGCGAAACTACCAAGCTACAACATTCGTAGCAATGCATCTAATGTTCAAGACCATTTTGTTGGTGTTCAAAACCATTTGTTGGCGTTCAAACCAATGGGGGAAAAAGAACACCGTAAATACAAAGTTCTACAGAAAAGACAAGGGTGGAAATTTAGCTTAAACACTCGAGAGCGGTTAGTCTCTATTCTATCGATCCGTATGGGGATATAGTCGACAGCATCATTTCAAATTCGGATTTAAGCACCAATGATGAACAGCAATTGATTAACTAGCCTAATTCAGCTTAATGCAATAAAATAACTCCCAGTTGCTTGCTGTAGGGCAAGGACTAATACCAATGCATCAGAAATGTTACCAGACAACCGTTCTAACTTACCGTAGTAAAATATATTGGCACGGGAGTCCTGAGAATTAATGTACAACCCGTATTGCCCAGATACTTTTTCAGACAACGGACACTTCGAATAAGTTAAGACTATTTTAGCATTTCTCTTCTAGAAAGGCAAAAAGTCGGGTGTCCTGACAAGGACGGCTTTGAATATCAATTGGCTGGCTAGCAACGTCCAAGAGTTCGCCGTTTCAAAGTTCAAGTTATCCGCGAGAAGAAGCTAGCAAATTGGCAGAGGAGTTCTGAAGCGACATGTTTTCCGGTGTCGGCTCGTTGAGTTACTAACCAGAGAACATTTCCTCAGACTTATTTGGTAACCGGCTACCTGGCGGTCATACCGAGATATATATTCTTATGTTGGCCACCAATTTGAAACACTTCAACTCAAATGACTGAGAAAAAGTTCAAATATAATCTTTAACACTGTGTTGGGATTATTCCTTTGGGCCGTCAATTAAGATTCTTTGCACTCTCCGCCTCAAGGGCTTTCATGTACCAGTCATCCTTGATAATCCTGCAATTTAGATTTCGAATTCAAA